CAGCGAAGATTGGGAATAGTTTTGTGCCTTATTACTGTAAAACCACTTTGGTACAACACAAAAAACGCCGCCGAGTCCTTCTAGTGAACCACACAGCTTGTACAAACTTTCCTTGAGAATCCATAATCGTAAGGTACAGAGCTGCCACAAAGGCGAGCCTGTGCTTGTGCTTTGGCGAGTAAGACCCAGCTTACCGCCTGGCAATGCAGCACATGATGCCGGTCTTGCCCAAGAACCAGAGGAAACCGGTGAAACGAACCAGCGCCAGCACAGCCGTGGAGTACAGCAGAAAGGAGAAGAAGGCCGCGGAACGTCCATTGGGGTCGTTCTAGAACACGTGTTAGCTCAGCACATCGAGACAAGAGATTGAAGCACTTACGGAGAAACCAAAAGCGTTAAAGTCGTCAGTAGTGATGAAGACAATGAGAGCCGCGTTGGAGAAGAGCCAAGAAACGACCAAACCGGTACGGAAAGACTTGTAAGAGTCCTCGACATCCCGCTTTTCGACCTCCTCGACCTCCTTGAAAGGCTCAAGGGCACGGCGCACAGTCTGCTCAAATTGGCTGTCGATATCCTCCTGCGGCTTGTCGATTTCCTCAACAACTGCCTCCTCGCCCTTCTCACCCTTGCTGATGTGAGCAGAAGGCAGAGCCTCGGCCTTGTCTGATCCCTTGGTACCCCAAGACACGTCATGCCAGTTGTTGAATGCGTACACCATGAGAATGTTGATGTACGTCGACATCAGAACCAGGTAGTAGGGGAACGAGTGGAACATGTGCCAGGGGTCGAGGTACATGAACGAGGCAATAAAGTTGAGGCCGTAAATCGTGACAAGGGCGACAAGAATAACACCAGCCGCGTTGTCGCCTCCGAAGAAACTGTCGACAAAAGCCTTACCGGACTCGAGACTGATTTGATCGCCAATAGGAGTGTTGAAGGCTCTGGCAACAAGGTATCCCGAAAGCACCAGGATGTAGGTCTGGATGAAGCCGAAGACAACGAATGATGCAATGTAGGTAAACTTGGAACCCTTGGGACGGTTACCCAGAGCCAGAACAAACTGGATGACGAGGAAAGCCAGGTAAAGATATTGGAGAATAGAGTTGATGATGGGCGTTGCGCTGTCGCCGAAGGGCCAGGCAGTGTGTGCCGCTGAGTCTGTAGACGCCTCCGTCGGTGTGCCGACAAGGTTCATGATGATAGACGTGGTCAGGTAATACGAGGCCAAACTGAACCAGGTGAAGATTACGTTCAGGATGTTGTAGATGAGCTGGATGTGGAAAAAGAACATGCGGATGAGGTTGTGGCCGCTCTTGTACATACGCCCAAAGTGCATCAGGGAGTAAAGAGAGGCGGCGAATGAACCGTTGAGCCAACGACGACGCTGGCTGATGAATTCAGCGGCGCCCTCGGGAACGTCGGTCTCGCCCTTGGCAGCCTTGATGTAGCTCAAATGCCATTTCTGGCCTGCCTTGGCGACGAGCTCGAAGCAGAGAATTCGATCCTCAGCCAAGAACATGTTCTTCTTGAAAATGTTCATGCCGTCGATGCCCTTCTTTCCAAGAATCTTGGACAGAGTGTGATCGCCGTGGAAATACTGCTCCAAGGGCCGACCCATAATGGCTCGGAAACGATAGGCAGAGAACGCACCAGGCAAGACAGAAACGTAGCCGAAAGAGCTCTCAAGAGGCTTGTCCAGAATGTTGGAAATCTTGTACTCAAAATTCTGGACGGCAACCAGAGGGTTCAGCAGCTTCTTGCCACCCTTGCCCAACATGGCGTGAATCTCACCACAGGCACCGCCAAGATCTTTGTCGTTGTAGAATCCCTCCCACAGCGCGAGAAGCGAACGCGGACTGGGTTTAGTACCGGCATCGAGCAGGATGCAGATCTCAGGGTTCAGGATGCGACCAAAGGCATTGAAGAGCCATCTGTGCGAGTTGATCTTCTTGCTGTTCTTGCCCTTGAGACAGAAGATGAACTGGACCGGGGGAAGAGTCGAAGGGCCATCGTCGACGGGGCGGATGAGTTGCTGGTTCGGAGTAACCGAGAGCTGACTGGTGTACTCAAAGATATGCGCGATGGTCTCCTTGCCGTCAACGTCCTTCTTGACGACTCCGTCTTGGTAGATACCGACCGTGGCGAGCACGTCGAGAACATTCTTGTCAGCCTTCTCGATACCGTCGAAAACAAGACAGACGACAATCTTCTGCCAGGCAGGGCCACCCTTGTTCCAGAATGTTGACTTTTTCAGGTTGACAATGTCTCGAATGTTCTGCATCACACCATGCAGCGTTCTAGACAGCAGGTTTTTGTCTTCATTGTAGTACGTGATAGCGATGAGGACCTCGGTGTGTCGGTTGTACATGCGGGGCCGCAGATCGTAACCGTTCTTCAGCGTGAAGTCGTTAGGATCACAGGTCGCGGCAGTGTAGCGCATCTTCATGAACTCCTCGCTGCCGCCCTCGACATCGCGATATTTTGGCTGCACGGCATTCTTGATAGCACTGGGAACAGGATAGTCAATGCTGAGGACGGAACCCTGCTGAAGCTTGATCTTCCTGGTTGCGTAGCGCTTGAGACCGCCGGTCTGGGCACCAGGCTGCTGACGGCGGACCCAGCTCTCGTCCGTATCAACGGTCGAGGCGGGCCGGCCATAGCCGAAGCCACCGTTCTGGGGGTCAAGCTCTTGGCTGTAGCCCGTGCCAACGCCAAAATTGTCGGGGGGAGGGGCAGGAGTTCGCGAGCCAGCACCTGGAGCGTACGATTCTGTCAAGCTGTAGGCCGAGACCGGACGGGCTGGTGGTTCTTGGGCACCGAGATGGTGTTCGTAGGGGGAAGTGCCGCGGGCATGAGGGTCGCGGAGGAGGGATTGGCCAACATCATCAACGCCTTCGTCCTGAGGAGGCAAGTGATACTGTGTGCAACGTGCATGTCAGTCATTGCGTTGGTTGATGAGTACGCTGGAAAAAGTTGGGAAGGGGCATGATGGAAGCTTACCCTGCTGCCGTTGCCGCTCCCGGGTGGAAGGTCCTGCAAATCGTGACCTTCGTAGTCGTTAGGCCCGCCGCCGCGGTAAGCCATTGTTATTAAGGTTCGAGGGGGTGTATTGTAACCTCAGACGGCCGATGTGGAGGTGAGGAGACGCAGTGAAGATAGAGTCGCAACAGCAATGTCAAATTGTATATCTCTGCGTCCAGGTTCAATGCCGACGCAGCAGTATCAGAGCCCAGTGGTATTTCGTCCTAGAATCTCGTAGGGCGACAGGATGTGCAGAAGTTGTCAAGGAGTAACAGCTGGCCCCTGATGAGAAAAAGTGGTGTAATGAAGATACGACAAGTGCAGGGCTCACCACCAAAGGAAAAGGTGGGAATGAGTGATGTTTGGTACAGTTTTCAGGGTGTCGGAGAGAAAGGGGGAAGAGGAGGCTTTGTGCGATCTGGGTAGGACGTGGACGAGACAACAGCTAAAAGAGGGTCTACGGGGAAGATGGTGTGAATCTGGGATGATGGCGTTGCGTTGGTGCTTGGTGACTGGCGGGCTGCTGACGCTGATGGGCACTGCACCTGCAAGAACCGGGCTAGCCTAGGTCGTCCCGGTGGGAAATGGTACCTAACAGGCCAGGCAGGCAAGGTAAATTCAACTGTGAGTGACATCTGAACCGTCCATCAGCTCCAGCTGTGGCTGAGCTTGCATCATGCTCTTTTTTCGGCCTCTCATCAACTGCTTCGGTTGCTCCGTTGCCTTGGGCACGAGTACGAAAAATTCCACAAGAACAGCCCGAGCCCACTCCCCATTGCCCTCAATCCCGCCATGCCGCCTCGTGAAAAACCTGCACATGGTACACGATGCCTAGACGGCCCAGAGACGAAGGTACTTGCAACCCAGTACCGGCACTGGATCCCCGTCATCGCGGCGGCGGCAAGCGGCGGGTACACCACAGTACATACGCGACACAGACCTGCTTCTCCCCCCGGAACCACCTCAACCACGGCATCCACTGCCCAGAAAAGAAAAAAGCGGGACTCAGGAGGCACTACGTCACGCCCCGGCCCTCGGGTGGCCCTTGCATGCGAGCCCGGCGGACAGCGAAGAGCGAAGATCGCCTCCCACGCTCCATGCTGGTGCGATGCATCCACCGTGCTTTTCTGCCTTGTCTTCCAAGCCCTGTCGTGCTGGGGGTGGGATTTTTTTTTTTCTTCGACGGCCCGCCCAGCGTTGCATTGGACGAAGTGGCTGGTATCGGGATGATTTAGAAGTCGGCGTGAGCGATGATGCAAGTTCTACGAATACCTGCCTTCCACCTGACGCAAGTATCCGAAGGGTCCAGTCGCTATTGGCGTTGGCACCGCAGCAAGCAAGCATTCCTGCAGCTGGGGAATTCCAGGTTCAGCTACGAGGTCCTCTGCCAATAAGTAGGTAGTGTTCTGAAGTGCGGTAAGGTACAATCCACACATATACAGCGCCCACAGTACTTGTGCACACTGCGCCCTGTCCACTGCGATCCACAGACAGTAGGGGCGAGTAAGTCATCACCAATCCAGTCTCCGCGACGATCGCAAGTACCTACCTGCCCAACCCCCTTTCTCAGATGAACAGACACTGTACCATGTTAGTGGAGCCTCCTGAATGCTGTGCCAGCAGTTACCAGGGCGAAGTACTGCCCGCCAGGCCTGGCTTTGGGGTTCCTCCAGCGCCAGAGCGGCATGCTGAAACACCCTCTTGTGGCGCTAGTCAGTCTTGGGCGGCCTCTACAGGCTTCAGTCGTCCTTTGGTCCTCTTGTCCCATTGCTTGTCTACGTTTCATCGACCGGAGCAATGCGGGCAAGAGATGCATCTCATGTCGTTTGCAAAATCAAGACGCGAAGGCCCGATATCCTCCATCATCAAAGCATCAACAGGAAATGCAGATGTTGGCCCATGGGAGCAATAGGTAGCGATACGCGGTGGCTCGGAATACGAGCTCTGGCATGGCTCGTGTTTGCCTGCAAGAAACAGGTCAATCGCGACTCGTGCCTGGTCCAAAAATAGCAAGATGAGATAGGGGCTGATCATCGCCTCGCCTCACAAAAAAATACACCTCAATGGACTGGCATTGTCTGACTGCGAGAGAGACGAGGCGGTGCACGTGAGACTCCCCTTTGCTCGCATCTCAGCCACGAAAACCTTCGCCAATGGTCTGCTCCAAGCCTCCCATCGCGGCTTTTACCACGAAGTCGTCACCGAGCATGCTTAAGCCTTTCAGGGGGCAAAGCCAAAAGCCTGACGCATAGATGGATCGACCATAAGCTCTCCCTACATTTTGAACCTACTTTTCTATGTTCAGCATTATAGGGGCACATACCCATAGAACTCTCTGCGACGCATAGTGACCCTTTCCGCTCCCGTGCATCGTTGGACCATTGGCAACTGTCACCAATCCTGCACAAATCGTGGGTTTCCTTTGTAGCACTGTCAGTCTTCTGTCACCAGATTGACAGAGACACTCTACAAGATTGAACGTCATCCGACAGCTGGTGTCTCGAGCCAGGCGCTGCAGCAGTCAAGCTGCCACATGCTCCATTTTCAGATTACGTGTCGCGGCAATCGTGCCGGCGGAAGGAAGATATGGGGGTCGACTTGTCAACATTGGTTTGCCCGGGGAAGAACAGTCGTGGCCACGGCTGTCAAGCGGCGGCATGCCCACATGACAAAGCGGTGTCTTCAGTGTTCGCATTCTGCAGGTGGCTAAGATGTACGGCACGGTCGGGTCCAGACGGGGGCACCTATGGCACTCCGAGAGTTATCGGTGATAATGTGATGTGGGCGATCATCGACCGCTCAAAACTTGGTGAAGTTGAAGGTTCTGCAGCCCCTATGGTCAGTAAACCCTCCAAAGGGCTATGATGTTCACGTCTTGCCATGGTAATTGGACCCTTGTGTCCGCGTGTTTGATAACCCCGCCATGGATCCAACGGTTGTCTCTGGCGTGGAGACGATCAACAGAGCACACAACATGGACGGGTCCAGACTCCCGAGTCTCTTTTGGGTCGCGCAAAGAATACTACGATCTTGATAAAGACAAACTAACACAAAGATGAGCAACAAGGGTCGGTGGACCTCCGATTGAATTCCCATCTGTCTCCCCGAGGAGAGAACCGCGACTGTTCTCGTCTAGAAGACCAAAGCGAGTGCACGCTCACGATCCATCTTCGAATGAGAGGGAACGGCATGTCTTCCAGGCTGGTCTCGGTCGGTCTGACCTCTCAAACAGGTCCGTCGAGGAACGGAGAACACTTGAGTGCGGGAGCATCACCTTCCCGTAGTCCTACAGCAGGTGTGTCCCAGGTGGGCAGGCGGACAGGAGCTGGTGGAGAAGGATGGGGAGCAGGCCAGGAGGTGTGGCCAATGATGAGTGGGGACGAGAGTAAGAGACGGTGCCACCAGACCAGGTCAGACCAATCAACGTGGAAAATTGAATGTGCTGCGTTTCGCTAAAACGCAGCCCCTTGCGGAGCCCAATCTCGAGGCAGGTCCTCTAGCGGGGGGTAAAGGCGTCCTCAGGCGTTCTTGAGCGACTCTTTCCAGCGGACTGACACCTGTAGGTTGCCCGCCAATGCACCACCGTAATCGCCTAATGCCACCGTTGACAGGGCTATAGAGCAATACCGGACACGACGGGCCCAGGTCCAGTCGCCTGTTGGTCCATTGCATGGTGACTTCCCCCTCCTCTCCCTACCCCCTCGTACCTCCTGCCCTTGGCTTTTGTTCAACAGCCCAACTGCGTCTGGCCAGGCCCCTCCCCAGATTCGACTCCTTCCTTGCCTTGTCTGTTCGTCTGTCTCTTCTCATCTCCTTGCCTTCTCCCTTTACACGACACCATCAGGTCCCGTCGCTGTCATCAAGCATCTCGAACAACATCTGAGACCGACAACACTTTGAATCTGGATCCCGCCGTCAATCACTCCTCCAGTTACCCGAGGTTTAGCCCTCTGATGCTATTTTCATTCTTATTCCGTCGCATAGTCGTGGTCGCAAACCACGTACATCCCGACCGACCCTTACGCCAACCCATCCCCTCGAGCTAGTCTCACCATCCACTCGTTACGCACCGCGAATTCCCTCGTCCGGCTTCCATTCCAACCCCTCGTGAGGAACGCCTCACCACCATTCCATACGCCTATTCAGAGCATAGTCTCGTATTTCATTCGTTTCATCTTTTCGCATCCTTCGTCTCACGAAGTCGCCTTTTCAGACTTCTCTGTAGCTACCGTCGAACGTCGCGGTCGCCGTTCGACAATCGACCGCGCACTCTTGGCTATCGGACTCGGACCCTCGACTGTCTCGCGATCGACACTCTTCAGCCATCTGGCGATCGACAATCTTCAACCGTTCGTCCCCATCACGACGATCCAAGCCCTGATACCACATCGGGTTACCCAGAACAGCATCACCCCCAGGATTGTCGCAGTCATGGCTGCATCCAACTCAAACCTCTACTTTCGTTCTCTCGAGGAGCTCTCCTCTGGTACGTTGCCTGGTTAAACCACAATCGCCAGCGATAACATCTCCCTTGTCGTTTTACTGTCTTGCTGACATGTTCTTTGTAGCTCTTCTTGCACCCAGGCAGGCAGGCTGCATCGAGTGTGAGAATAGCGGCCTGACATGTCAAGGTGTCGCATGCTCTTCGGGCGAAGTCTGCACCTTCACTGTTCCAACATGCAATTCGTGCGCCAAAGCTGTATGCCGCAAGGACGCAACAGTCGCTCCCGAAAGCAAGAGCGACAAGAAACCCAATACGGGCGCTATTGCGGGAGGTGTCGTGGGTGGCGTCATTGCCATCGCCGTCGTGACCTATCTAGTCTGGAGATTTTGTATCAAGCCTCGACGTCAGCACCAGATCGCACAGGAATCCTACGAAGATGAGCCCGACCACAGAGTTGAAGCCGAGAAGGAATTTGGTGCGCGTCGCGACAAGCGCTCATCAGTCCACACGGTCCACTCGATCGCCTCGACAGTTCTCACACGCGCCTCCAACATCATCCAGATCGCCTACATCCCCGGTGTTACAAATCGCGCTACACCAACTTCGCCAACTCTGCTCGTACCCCCGGTCCCGCCCATCCCCATGCACGCCTCAAGCCTTGCCTCCAACAGTCCCAGCTACGAGGACCAGCACTTCTTTGTGCCCGGCGATCTACGGGATTCTACGTACTCTGGTCTGTCTGGGGATAGCGATCGCATGTCCTACGCTCGCACCTCTTACGCTCCTCGCTCCAGCATTGCTCCAAGCATTGCTTCAACCATCTACGGCAAGAATGCCGTCGTCGTGGCCCCAGCGCAGACTGGTATGAGGGCAAAGGCTGCCATGGTCAGCGTCAAATCCATGGGTGGCTCGGCCGGCGGCGAGGTCACACCTCCCGTGCCGAGCATTGACTACGACAAGTTCGATGCTGCCAAGCCTAGGGACAGCACGTTCAGCGTTGGCTCGACATTCCTCAACAATGCGAGTACCACGACTGCTACTCAGGGCCGCGCCCAAGTCATCCGTCTTGGAAGCGGTAACCAGGTAAAGCAGGTCAGCGTTGGCTCCAGAACGGACGACGAATCGTCTGTGACTGCCGGCCGGACAGCCTCAAGCTCAACTTCTATCCGTGACTCCAATGCCGTCACCGTTATTGACGAGAGCCCTTCCGTTGATCAAGGTCCCTTTTCCGATCCCCCAAGCATTGCTACTCGCCAGAGCACCACAAGCCTGAGTGCCGTGATCGAAGAGGCGACGAAGCGGGCGGCACAAGGACCCGACAGGAAATCGAAACGCCAGAGCGTCCAGGAGCGTCACGAGCGCGGCACCAGCCCATTCGGCGACGAGCACGCGACAAGGGACTAGAGCCGTGGAGTTTCACTTGGTTCAACGTCTAGC